TTTATTATAATATACTTTTTATAATTATTATTATTATTATTATTATTATTATTATTAATACCTTTATTTTAAGGGTAAAGTAAGTAATCTTTTATTTTTTAAGATTAAACTTATAGGTAGGTTTATAATAGGTTAATATTAAGGGGGATTCCTTTACTATTATATCTAACCTTAAGGTTAACCTTAAAGTTAACTTTAAGGTTAACTTTAAAGAAAAGGCTATAAGAAAGGTTATCCTTAACCTTAAGAAAAAGGTATTATTTAAAGGAAAGGTTATTTTTAAAACTATTAATTAAAATACTTAACATTATATAAAGGAAAACCTTTAAAGCTTTTATAGCTTTTAAAATTTCCTCCCCTTTAATTATAATTATATAAATTAATCCTATTTTAATTTTAATAATATAAAGGAAAGCTTAAAGGAAAAGGGTTACTTTATAAGTAAAATAATTTATTTATAACTATATTTTTAAATATACTTTTTCTTTTATATATAGTTTTAAAGAATATTTTTATAATAGTTTTTATAATAGGAATAAGTAATTAGCTTTAAATATTTTTATTAAAGGCTTTAAATATTATTATAAATTAATTAATATTATTTTAATTATAACTTTTAATATTTTAAATTACTTATTATATAAAAGCTATAATATTTTAACCTTTATAAATATTATTTATTATAAATTTATAAGCTTATAATTTAATTATTAAAATGAATTATAAGAGTTTAAATCTTTTAATTAATTTATTATTAATAGCATTTATAATAATTATTTTAAATAAAGTTCTATTTATAATAAATAAAACTTAAGAATATTATATAAAAGTAGGATTTAAAAGGTATTAAGTTTAAACTTTATATACCTTTATATTAAAATATTAAATAGTAAAATACTTAAGTTTATTTATAAAGGTATAAATATTAATATATTTTATAATTTTTCTATTTATTATAATACTTATACCTATAAGGTCTTTAATATTAAAATTAAAATAGTTAATATTTATTAATTATAAAAGTATTAAGTTAAGTATTAATACTTAAAGCTTAATTATTATAAGGAAATTAATTATATTTTAATTATATTTATTAACTATAATTATAAATAAAGCTATTATATCTTTTATATAATAATTACTTTATTAATTAAAAGCTTTATTAAATAGTTATTTAACTTCTTTTAAAGTAAGTAAAGTATAATTAATATAATAAAGTTTTAATATTAGGATTTTTCCTATATAATAAAATTAATTAAGGGATTTTTTAATAGGATAAATAATATATATTAAAATAAAGGTTAAGGATTATTAATATAAATATTAATAAGTTTTATAATTAATATATTAAATTATAAAGGTTTAAATAATAATAATAAATCCATTTATAAAAGGTAAAGCTATAATTGCTTTAATAAATAAAGTAGGGTAGTTTTTTTAAATAGCTTATATAACTTAAGTTATATATTACTTTATATTATAAGGAAGGTATTTATTAAATTACTTTAAAGATTTTAAAAACCTTATAGGATTAATTATTTCCCTTTCCTTTATAAGAATAAAAGCCTTAAGGAATTATATAACTTAAAGGATATAAGTATAGGATTTTTAAACAATTAAAAGGATTTTAATTAATAATAATAATAAGATTTATAAGCTTTATAAATCTTTTTCCAATATATTAAAAAGGTTTTAAATTAATATTTAAATTTTATTTAACTTAAAGGATAATTATTTTTAAGTTTAATAGCTTTATATTTTAATTCTTATCCTTATATAAAGTAATCCATTAAGTATAGGTCTTCCCGGTTAATAAATTCTACATTAAGGTATATAATAGCTTGGAATTTAAAAAGTTACTTTATTAAAGTTACGGTGGCTGGCCTGGTGACCCACCTGGGGCTTGGGGCCCAGATGGCCACACTGCCACGCGTATCGCAATCACCACGTGACCATCGCTTCGCTGTGCGCACTAAAATACTTTGCCATACTTTTTGTACTTAGAATATTTCCTCCGTTCTCCATCTTACGATAAATATACAGATGGTACCGCAATATGAGCTTTGCCTTATACGTGACACTCCAATTGTGATAATTAATAATATATTTACCTTAATTAAAGTAGGATAAAGTAATATAGGGTTTTAAGATTTAATAAAGCTTAAAAGGTATTTTTTAATATAAAGGATAGGAGTTTATCTTATATAAGGTTAAGGAAATTAATATTAATTAATTAAATTAAAATAGTACTTAATATAAGAAAAAGTATACCTTAATATAATTATAAAGGATTTTATAAAGCTTAATACCTATTAGTAAAAGAAAATTAATAGTACAATAATAAATAATTGTTAGCTATTAATTTATAATAGTATAGCTAATTAGTTTATATTATATAGATGATGATGTAGAAGTTAAGTTTTTGGGTTTGCTAAGGACTATTGTAGGAGACTGTATACCTGTAGCTACGTACAGTGGGTCCTCCTGCCCTAGGCCTCACATACGCATTAGAAACTAGGTACATGTAGGTAGTATATCGATATATGCATGTTTATACGATTGCTGCCATTGGACGTGAGGATCCCCCTCTTAGCTGCATATACTGGCATCCCATCTAAGGATCCCATCTAGGATCTTACTGGCATCTTCAACAACTGAGCCTTGGTCAAGCACGATAACACGATGGAGTTCATGCTCAAGAACCAATCACGGATCATGTGTCACCGTGAGAACAGTCCAGCCTCGAAACGTCGAACCTAGGATCGTATTCATTCACTCAACAGTGTTCAAGTCCAAACTACAGATGACATAATACATCTTGTCAGAAAGATGCGGCGTGTCAAGTCGAAAAATGATATGTATGCTGCTCCTACTTACTGGCTAGTGGCCTCATCCATGAGCAGGACACCTGCGCGCTTCCCTGCAGCTCGTAACATAGCGCGGGCGAAGCAGAATAACTGTGCCTGACCACTGCTAAACCGCTCCAGGCGAATCGCTGCGTCAAGGCCCCTATCGTCATCAATGAACTTCCCCAGTCCAGCGGAAATGCGAGTGACGAGACGTCCGGTCGTAGATACGCTGAATGAAGTACACGAGTACAGTTATTTATCAACGGTATTGAAAGAGCGAGGTAGCCGCTGGCGATGGATGTTGGAGCCAGTTCCGCGAGCGTCGCCGCGATCTTCTCGCATGTCATGAGAAAGATGAGTGAGAGGGGTAGATCCATGAGTTTTAGGTCATTTGTGAAGCTGTATTCACATTTCAGAGCTAGTTAGCAGTCAATAGGTCTTGCTAGTTATTCATCCGTAGAACGTTTCTATCTTTACGAGACGCAGGCTTACGGGCTCAACAAAGTCCCGGTGTCATGAGCGGCGCAGAATGACATTGGTGCACTGTTGCAAATCAATTGAGCGAGAGTCATTTTGTTATTCACGCAACTTCAACTTACTGTAGCATGTTGAGTAACTTCCCACGAATATCCAGCGCTGATCTCGGATGAATTTGCATGAAGAGACAGCTAGAGCGATGATATTAAGCGTCAATCTCGATACGTAACTTGACGAATTAATGATAGAACTGCACCTTGTTTGAGCGGCGATAGAAAGCACAGCGAGGACTCCGAGCAGAATATAAATACCGGACCAGTACCCTACATTCGGTCTTGGCTCTAGGCTGTATTGATTCACCCAGAACTTGAGCTAGATCGCTAATGGGCCGAGAAAAGTCAGCGTGTACACAGATCCAGCGGTGTTGCGGCAACTGTAAACTCAACAGACGTACTCTGCCCGGTGTTCAATCCGACGAGGGTGACTGTCAGAGCGATGAAAACAAGTAATCGCAGACTTCTCATAGATTGCATGTAGAATGCAAGCGAAGATTGTTTGCGAGGCTTGGTCGCCGTACCCATTTCATTACCGCGTAGAGTTTGCCCTGTCGCTTGAGTGGTGGTTCTTGATTCCAGCGCTGCTTACGTCGAAGGCTTCTTCACTACACAATTTTCTTCCTGGCTGTGGTGACATGCGTCGGGTTTCACTCACTGTGTCCATATAGAAATGCCCTTTCCTTCGTGTCATTCGAGGTCCATATCCCAACACATCTAGAGGGACTTAGCTGTCTTTGCACCAGACCATGAAATCAGACTTTCACTTGTTGATATCCGAGTCGCTTTGGCATCATCATTTGATAGTCTTCCTGACAGCGCTGCCAGGTTCGCTCGTGTTTAATTGCTATTCATCTCGGCATAATCATGCTTCTACTCACTAGAAGACGATATCAATCGCTGCCTGTCACAGAGGCAACCGTAGAGGATGAGAGAAACGAATTCAATTCTCTACACGAAGTGGTTTATCAGGTATATCACCTCTGCTGATAGTCTTGACGGGGATCGCCATCACTTTGCAACCATTCTTCCCTGTCTGCATAACAAGGTGTGCGTATATGTTGATGAATGATGAAGCCAGTACCTCATAATTAAGGCTAGGTAGGTAGGAGGTAGGTAGCAAAGTCGCGTCGCAATAGCGCGATCTGTTCAACTCCAGCAAGTGCTATTTTAGCAACAATTTCTACTAAGAGCCTAAGATAATATTTGATTAGTTCTTTCTTATTTTAGTCTCTTGACTAGTACTGAAAGACTAGGTTAGGTACTCTCTTCTGTGGGGGTTAAAACTCCCCGAATTCATCACTCAGTTCATCTCCTCCCAACCAAAGAATAATAATTAAGGAGCGTAAGTACCTAGCGATCTAGGTAGATATATTTGAGGGAGCGTGCCAGTTCTTCATGATACTAAATAGTAAAGAATGCTACAACGTTTGCGTCATCTCTTGAATCCAACCCTCCCGCGCTACCCAGTCCAGTCTCGCTAGTCTTACTTGCCGAGTAATCTGCGCGACTCAACAGGAAGTGTCCTCAAGTACGGCACTGTGTTATTAGAAAGGGACGATGCTTCCCTACGTCACTTTACCGTATCCATACCCAGAAACCCAATATAGCAGTCTTACCACTAGAACTTCACTTGGGACTGGTTCGTGAATGGGATAGATTCTTCGCCTATCTTCCCAGAAACCTCCATATACGCAGGAGGCCCTCTACGCCGAGTAACCAATAAGGCACGAATGCTCAGAAACCCCAAGGCAAGGTTAGCCAGTGCTGCCTCTACAATCAACACTATAATCCATGCATTCGATCCTGCGCGCTGAGTGCTTGTTTCAGTGTCACGTAATATCCTCACAAGGGCGCTTGTTTGAGGGTTCCTGTCTAACATTCCGTTCTCTAAATAGGAAACGATTAGCAAGGTTCGTCAAACCCCCTTTTAAATTTTTATCAAGGACAATCTACACTCACTTATGATTGCGCCATCATCCTCTTCCCAATCCGACATCCGGAAGCCCCGCTCCAGTAGTTCACGGGCAGCATCACTCAGGGTACGGATTGGTTCGCGGTCCTCTGAAAGCCGTTCAGCATAGACCTTGAGCAGTGATATGCAGTGGATGACGTGGACAAGGTAGAAGTCGTTGATATTGTCTCGACCAAGGTCAATGGCATCAGCTAGGGTATTGGCACAGTGGTGCTGGTGTTGACTAGCTAGGGCATAACCGTAACCAATTTCATCCGTTTCCAGCAGCGTCGGTACGGAATGAGTACTATTCCAGCCGAGTTCGGTTGCAGCGCGTAACTGACGACCGGTGACCTGGAGGTATAGATTGAGGTAGGTAACCTTTGCCTGCTCGTTAATGGCATTGTCGAATAGCAGCCTGAGATGGTTCGGCACATGGTCACGGTCAACCTGATCATCTGCAGGAATAAGGTCATACTCGAACAACTTTCGACCACGGTCGGAAGTCTCCCTTAGGGGATTCTCGCGCATCTGGGAGTAAACCCAATCTTTTAAAGCTTGGTCTTCTGCCTCATGCTCCTCTAGAGAAATTGACCTCTTATCAGCTGAGCTTGTTGAGCGTAGGCTGCGAGCAAGTGCACGTCTTGTGATCATATGGGGCTCGCCGAGGATGATACGAGGGTCCACGCCATAAGCCTCTGGTGGCTGCATGCGCTTTTCAATCGACCCGTCGCTTTCCGTATCGGTCCCTGCCTCGGCGTCGGCCTCCTTAACACCATACCAAGTTTGGCGTTTTTCGATATCGGCCTCAACGTCGGCCTCCTTGATATGATACCAACGTAGTTGGCGTTTTTCAATATCGGCCTCAGCGTCAGCCTCCTTAACACCATACCAGTTTTGGCGCTTAGATTGAAAGGAAGCGACACTGGTGCTAAGCGCCAGGATATAGAACGTGAGGATCGGCCACATGGCGCTAATCAGAGAATGCGGTGATTTCTAAGCTCAAAATATGATGATGTGTCCGGAAGTCGTCAGACTGTATCTAGAAAGTGCCTATAAATTTATCTAGTTGAAAGACTCCTAGAGCATGTACTTTGAGTAAAGGCAGACTCGGGTTTATATTCACATTCAGGGCCGCACCAGATTCGGCCACGACTGCTCGCCCATCCGTTTCCCACTTCCAGAGATTGTCTCACAGCCACCTAGGGCGCCCTATGTATTGGTCATATATCTTGTCTAAGATGCAGACCTCTCTTCTCATGCATGTACACAATATACCGCACTGCCAGTCATACTGTCAGCCATGCCGCCGGTCAAGTTGCCGGGCAGGTCGTTTCGAGCGATCTTGAAGCAGAATAAAGAGTCCGACCTATACGTATACCTTTCATTTTTACTCAGTAGGCCCGGACACATTCCAAGGCTTGCCACTTAGAATTACTACACATACCAGTCCTCTCACCATATTGTACTCTTTGCTGTCATGGTTGCTTCAGTTCTTACAACCAGCACCTACCATTGCCATATTCCGGAACCTAGATCAATCATCCTTGAAACAGGTGCTGGAATTATGTAAAGAAAGGGGCTACAATGAGAACGATTACCCCCATTCTGACACAGCCAGCAACAGCAGCTAACCAACATTGACAGCTCCATACTAGCCAGTGTTCAAAACTCAACAACTTCTGTCTGCATCCCCACGGGAAATGACCCATAATCAAATACTCTGGGGGTAGCGAGCGCCGTGGATCTTGCACAGGAGCTCACCTCCTGCTTCTGGGCTTTAACTGAGTATACAGCATATGCTCACTCCGATATCAACTCGATTGGTACTGCAAGTGAGACAGCAGTGAGTAGACCCCGCATCCTGATGCTACTTAAACCAATAATCCAGTGAATATGTCGGCTCACAATGTGCCGTGCTTATTAGAGAGCGATCAACAACATGATAGGTGAAACAGCATTGCATATTGCTTGAGAAAAGGATCAAACTGCGACCGCAACTTTCCTACTTGCTAATGGCCCTGGTGCCAACGCTTGTGACAAGACAGGCCGAAATCCCTTGCGCTGGGCTGCTACAATGGGATATCGTGAAATCATAGAGCCTCTTATTAGTCATGGTGTTGGTGCTGAGTTGGCGGACGGCCTGGGTTTACGAGCTCTTCACATAGCGGTAGACTCAGGCGAAGAATAGTTCTTCAATGATTTGATACCGAGAGGGGTAGATCCCAAAAGCCGTTCTCTCGGCTGACGAAATAATTAGAGTACAAGTCCAAGCCAAATATGTGTCTCTAACTTTCTGTACACGGTCTGCTAACTCCCTAGATTAGCTACTTCGGTGCTTTTGATGGCCGCTTCCGAAGCTTCCCGCTTGACAAGGAGACATTGTTGGGAGACGTTGCATATTTTGTTCATGCAATGTCAGCAATCCTCTCACCATCCTGACAACAATCGTAGCAGCTACTTGCAATTTCAACGCAGATTCATGCTTTCAGTGGAGGTACTTTGGAGCCACACCAGACACCTATGTGTCACCAATATGGTGATTATGTTGGGTGCTTAGGACGCTTTGAATGGTGGGTGATTTTGGTTGCAGAACATCTGCAGTTTTCTTTTTTTACACACCCCGGTACCCGCATATGCGAATTGTAACTTTCGGCTGTATAATTACTTCAATAAGCCTTTTGATAAGACATTACATCTGTGCTCGAAAGTGAAAGTATCCATCTACCGCCCGTATGAAACATACTGACGGATCTAGAAGATTAGAAAAGCTGGACCGATTGTATATAGAGTCAAGGTCAGCTACCAGAGCCTGAAGGGGATCTGTGGATCTTAGTAGCTATAGCTGATTATTTTATTGTGAATAGCTTCAATTCTAAGCTTGTCACCTGCCGTTGTTATTTATCCTTACCTGTAGACCAGGGGACCTCTGGTGATAAGTTTTCTGGAGCCCGGATGATCAACTGAGCCGCATAGACATAAGTTGGGTGGCTCTCTGACAGTTATCGCCCTAGAGACTTCTATACTAAAACTCCCTATGCATCGTCATTTGTCAGTTATACAAAGCCACAGGTTGCCACTACCCTCTCACAGAATGACGCTGCATTGAGTAGCCCGAACCTTGGCCCAGGCCAACCCTATGATACTTCATGCAAGGAATTCCGGCTCAGGGTGCGCAACAGAGATGCCGGATTAACCGCGAGTACCTCCTAAGTAATTCTCAAATCAGCGTATACGCCAACTCTTTTAAATGTTTCGGTTTCCCCTACGCAGCTTGTCTATTCGACTTCAAGCAGGGCCTGCTTGAAATATTTGTGAAGTGACTTGCCCTGCTAGTTAAGCTGCGCCTGGGTATCTGAACAATGGTGAATGTCCGTCTCGCTAGCGTTGCAGCTACCACTGCTATTAAAGATTACTCCTTCTTTCCCTAGTAGCTTACAATCTCTGTTTTCAAGGCCACTCCCTCCCGGATAACGGTCTACTTAAAGAGCGGGTGCTAGAGTCCCTCTAAAAGCACTAATGCTTCCGGTTCACAAGGCATGTATCATGATAAGCTACTTTATCTTGGTGTCTTGCACTTCGGCCATACAAAAGGCCATTGCAGGCTGTTCATGATCATTCAAAGACATGCAGGGAATATTGGGATATGCAGACAATATTAGGCAATCTTGGAAAGTGAAGTTATACAGACTTCGCTTCTTGAAACAAGCCCTTGAGACCTAGGCGGTCAGGGCTGGCAGACCAGTTGCATATAGAGTCGAGTCAAGCCACCAAAGCCAAGAAGGAATCGGTTGGTCAAGGACTCATGCAGCCTAGTTGGTCATTATATTGTGAATATCATCAGGCTCCAAGCCCAGATCTCTGCCCTTGTTATATGGTGGTCGAAGGAGACTCTTCTGCAACAAGCCCGTTGGGAGACATTGAGCGAAAACGATCAATCACTTTTGATACAGGCTAGATTGCAGCTAAATCATGGTTTCGTTCAGCTGAAAAACAGAAAGACTTAGCACGTCAGATGGTACGGGGTGTCTATGTTTCAACAACCCCATTACCTGGAGATGATCAAGGAACAGCTAAAGCAGGTTAAAGCTGTACAGGAAGGCAAAAGCTTCAACACGCCGTTACGAAGAAATCACGAAAATGAACATACTAAGAATAAAACAACTTGGGGACATCTGTTCCTTGTAAGCCTATGATGCTTAAACTGCAATGAGTTCATCAAAAGCTTACACACGATCATAGGCATAGGCTACATTGCCCAGGCCGTGGTCTGCGCTGCTAACAACACACTTGGGATATCTAATATGGAAGATATTGATGGAATCTAACACCTTATTATTGATGAAGGTAACGAAACACACCAATGTCGTGATTTCAACCAGGTGGCAGCTGTGATGAGTTACAGTGACACACAGCCACTGGAGTTTGGAGATATCGTCCCTGGGGACACAGTTATGGTCGTGGCCCACCGATCTGGAATGGATATGGGTATCATAGGCTTAGCAGATTGAATTACCTGGACTAAAGTTGACTTTCGAACCACTGACACTGGAGGGTCTTGATCCCGACCACGAATTTACAGGTGAGCCTGAACTCAGTGTGATTGACTGGGTTAGCAGTAAGATTAAAAACAGTTTACGAGATTTTCCCTGACTAGCTATAAATACCAAAGCAATGCTTTATAGCTTGAGACCCGAAATACTGATGGGGGTAATTACCATCAATATTCATTTCTCGTTGCAGCTAATATGAGAGTCAAGTTCATGAGCTTCATGACAGCCACTTCTTTTCATTTTAGCCGTGTCTGATAATAAGCTCGCCTTATTCCATATGATATGCTTTAACCGCTAGTTACATTATAGCACTAATTGTGTTGACCGCCTTTTCATACCAGGCTGAAATATCTACACTACACGGCACCTCCTTGCAAAACTGACCAAAACAACATGATAATTTTCGTTACTGTGTCGCGTCGCCGTTGACAAGTCCCAGCCGACGCACCTAGCCCATGTCAAGGCCAGGGTAGCTCGAGCCGGACGGATGCGCCAGGAGCCGCGTATGTATAATAGAGGATCCCTTGACACGTGGCATTCGTCGGATTAAGATGAATTCTCAATAATTCTTAGAATATTGGTAAGGTTATCGGCACTATTGGAGAGCTTTTCATATTGAAATCTCGAAATTTCCCATTTTATCGAATAGTGTAAGCCTCAAACCCCTTGTTCCTGGATCCCTATATGATGACCCACCGTGGCTATATAGCAGCGCTCGGGACCCTATGAAATCGCAAGAGTTGAGTCACCAAAGGCTATACTACGAGCGCTATCAAATCAAAAAAAAAAATAAAAAAAAAATTCAATCCATCTAGCCGTTTTTGAACTTCTTCGAGAAGAAACCGTGCACAGGAGTCCCTGGGATAGTCATGAGCTGTGTTGATAGACAGATTGCTTGCTGCCCCTGAGACTTCCTGGTAGCGACTTTTCTTATTTTGGGCGTCCGAGAACCCGACCTTTTGGAACTAGTAATCGAAAACAAGTCGCATAGTACCCGCATGTTGGTCGACGCAACGAAAGTGAATCGGCTCATGGCATCTGTAAATACGTAGGCGAGGGCGGAACTCAGATGGGGCTCATTGAGATTATCTTGGCAGAGCAGAGGTTTTCCGGGGTCGTAGTATCGAATCATGTTGTCAACCATTGGCAATTTTCTTCCATTATCTTTTTCCATATCGTGTAGTGCTCCTATCTGAGACGGCTGGCTAATCATTCTACCCTCTTGTCATGATCCTAGACTGTGCAGGAAATCTTGTGATGGTCAGTCATGGCAACGAAGGACCCGTAGCAACCGCGTCCGGGGCAGATCCGGGGCCGCGATGGCCGGCATCCTTGCCCTATAAGCCCGGCTTTGTTATGGACATCGTGTGTTGGAGCACGAGCCTCCTCCTTTGTTTGGCGGAGACGTAGGCTATCCACGCACGCTCAACACGTTCCGATCCGCTCCGGGATTGAACGCAAAACAAACATTTCAGTCTAAACAAGTGCTAGCAAATCCTCCTGAGCATGTGCGAGGGTCTCTCGAAATTCCTCTGCGCAGCACTGCGCTCACCATATCAAACGGATGTGTCCAACTCATGGCTTGCCAAGTTGAGTTTGATGGGAAGTAGAAACCGTGGCGCGCTAGCTGCTAACATCTGCACGCATATCGCTAGGTAGTAGTTAATGAGGATCGAAAAGCTGCAAAACCTCGGCTTTCGCACCGTAGTTCTACAGGTGATGGATTCCTGAATTACCATTAGCTTTGAAGGAACACATCATAGACGATCGTCGATATGAACAGTATCGCCGGAATACTAGCTTAATTACTCAGAGATATCGTAACGCAAGCCCATTCGAGTCTGAGGCGGAAAGGCCTCGCGACAAGGAAGGAGATGCCAGTCACTTGTCCAAGGGAAACGCCACCGTCCGGATATTTATCCTATGTGGTGCTGGGAGAAGATAAAGAACAGAGGCTTTGGGCGATATTTGAATAACAAGATAGGCAGAGTCGCTTTGAACTAAGCGGGGAGAAGCTCGAATATGATCTTCTGTAGTAGAGTATGCACGCAGTCCGGGCTATTTTCACTACAACACAGCTTCATTAGACACATCGAATCTGACACATGTGGTCCGTCATAACATACCTTTAGCGAATCACCTCCTCTCATATAGCGTCAAGGCTCATTGATAAATAATGCACCCTAAACTGGAATGATGAGCCAGCATCAACAGGGTAAGTTATCAAGGGTATAATCTCGACGTGTGGACTCTAAGTGGCCGTTGTAAGCACACTTATCAGTTCACCGTATCCTTTCCACGCTTCCAATAATCATGAAAACAATACAATACACCACCTCCTGTGATATCTTAGTGGAGAAGTAGAGATGGACGATGTGCTGAATCACATACTCTACTACTATGGGAGTAGAACAAGTAATGGCAGCTAAAATGCTAAACGCTATTCCGTACACCAACGACCACTCTCCTACAAGATCGCCCAAGTACCTATGGATCAAGAACTGATTGATAGCAATAGTGCTGCATTGAGAGTGAGCTATAGGTGGAACGTGTCGGAACCATCGCCGTCGTCTATGCCGTCGCCGCCTAACCGAGAATGACATACCTCATGTCCTTGTAAGACTCGGCTCCAAAGCTGCTCGCCTTTTCACCGCCGTCTTATTGCTTCGACAACCAACAACAATCGGCTTTGATACGGATTTGCTCTCTTATGCACACATACACGCATGAATACACAGGCATCTGCCAAGTCTCGACCGCTCTTTCTAGTCAGAAGTACACGTATATATATCCCAATGAGTCATGAGCATATCGGATCATACACCCATCTGCTTGGATATATATGCGATCGTGACCCGGTCGTGTTATGCGTGCTCACAAACCCCTCTCACTAAAACCGATCCTCAAGGATTTCCAAACACCAAAATCGGACGAGGACCCTAGACTTCAACCAGTATAAGCTTCGGACGAAAGAAACGAAACAAGAGTACCAAGAAAAGATGATACATGGGCAGAGAGCTAGGCAGACTGACCCTTTCATAAGAGCCCGTCTACTTACAGTAAAAGACATGGTACGGGGCTCCTTCGCAGGGGCCAATTTTGCCCAATTCCGGTCGATGCTGTCTGTTGACTGCTACTACTTACAGAACTTGCCTTGCCCTATAGTATGTGACTGCTATGATGCATGGATAAGGGGGGTCGGCAAATTGATTTTTAGCGATCAGGTGTTTTGCTTAGCACTGGAGCCTCATAGCATTGACCCGAAGTTTCAGAAAAACTGCCGTAAACGAACGAGTGAACGAATTGGGTTCGTTGACGTAAGCACGCACCGCACCGCCTTTACACTACAGCATGTAATCGTGTGTTGTTCCGACATACCACTCATCACAATCTTGTTACACGTGCGATTGGAAAACCCGCAAGTTTGTCTGAGGGTACACAGATAGGCAGCTATCTCCTCCCTCCCCCCGGGGTAACGTAGCACAAAACCCGGCAGTCATAGCTTAATCTCGCTGTACTAAGGGAATGGATGATGGGGTTAGCAAATCTCAGAAATCTCCGATCTCGTGTGGGCCAATAGTAGAAAGGACAAGAGAGATTTGAAGAAAGCTTGTTAAGCGAGCAAACTGCTCTCTCATTGAATTTGCTCTCCTTCATTAAAAGTCAGGCGGTTCTCTTCGGTCTTGGGAAGCGAGATACCGTCACACGATTAGCGTAGGTATGTAAGTAATACTTACGGCGCGAACTTGATTGCGGCATTACACACAATACCTAGCGTACTATCCGGCGCCGGCGTGGATTCCTTACCCTATCTACGCAGATTCACTGGCTGGATGGGGGTGGGTGACTGGGTACTACTTACAATTTTAGAATGGGAATATCTCCCGCGAGCAAGGATGGTGTTTCAACAGCTGCACGAGATATCTGGTAGCGAGCATGGTTTAAGTAGATGCGATAAGGGTGCCTCAATTAGACACACTACCGTACCATGTATACTCTAAGTCGCGGTCAGCGAAGGGAAAGATTGTCGATTTAGTGCCTCGGTTTTTTGTTAGGACTTGACCGGAACGGGAGTTGCCTACTTACAGTAGCCCGTACCGAAGTTGATGCCGAGCGGTACGAGGCATGAATATCTATGCTACGGTGCTACAGTATCTTTGACTGCGCCCAATCACATCTTCTTTACAGTAACCGACGAACCCTCTTTCAGTTCTACAGAATCTCAAATATGTATGTAGTAGCGAGTGGTGTCAATCAAGCAAGTGTGTGCTTAAAGGAGTTCGCTACTGGTATGGCCTCCAGTGCCTGCTATCAGGTCCCGGCAGACTGTATCTCGGCCCAAGATGCGTCCCCTTTCCATGTGCCTGTGACGCGGTGATCTCTGGGCTGTGACCTGCTTTGGAGCTCCCCCATCGTTCATCATGCAAGATTGTGGGTTAGGGAGCTCTCTCTCTCTCTCTCTTTGCGTGTGTGTTGGTGATGAGACAGCTGAAAATGTGGGCGAGGTGGGGGAAGCAAGCGTGATGCCCCAGCAAAGGATGCACGAATCAACGCCGCGAATTGCAGGAGGAATGCTACGTCGGCGGGGTTTGACGGCCCAAGCTCCCTGATCAACCATGCTCGTCTCTTTCTCGCCGACCTATCACGCCGCATAAGCCTCCCCATCGCTACCCATTGCTCGGCGACGATTGGCCGGCTGAAGTGATCAGACCTCGTGACATCGCGACGAGAGCAGGGGTTATCGTAAGCTTTGCGAGGGGTGGTAGCCTCTTAGCTGCAGCTTTTTGCTCAGCTTCTGCTTCATGTTTACTCAGACAAGACGCGCACTTTTTTTACTCACTGCCGGCCCGTTGTTTACTTATTTCCGTTTTGGGTCACACGATAACCCCTCAACTCCGCACATCGGCCTCCTCCCTCGAGGGGCGCAAGTAGGCAAGACAAATACAATGCATTAACTACGGTGCCTACCTACTGTAGAGGAGCTAGCTGGGCCGGAGGGGTAAGAGGCTTTTCGCATTATCATTACATCAGTGTCTGCATTGGACACGAAAAAGACAATGTCTAGCTTGCAGTCATACTGGACGCCCATGTCTCATTCAAGTTGGAAATATCATGTAGGTAGCTACTACTTGGTGATGCATCTTGCATGTACACACAGCTCTGGCATAGGTTGCATTTCTCGATAGCTGTTGGTGATAACCTACACGTACACATGCATTCAAACGTGAATCAATTAGGTGCCGAGCTCGCCGAGCTCTAGAACATCAATTTAGCTGTTCCTCTGATAAGCGGCGGGCGAGCGGCCAGTAGTAGTAACGGATGCTCCGATGAGATGATCTGATAGACGCCTCAGTAGCGGCCCGGTAGTCTGGGCGAACCTTCGATAGTGATGTAGTACGGTAGGTAGTAGGCGCGTAGAACGACCTACCTTTGATGCGCCCAGTTCGGTAGCACGTCGCTGTAGGACTCGATAGTGTCTGCCAGCTCTAATAATAATCGGCATGCCCTACCAGGACAGAGAACCAGTAGAAGCCACCAGGTGGCAGAGGTTTGGCGCCGATGACACTGTGAATCAAATGAGGGCCTAGACGAGGCTAGGGCAGAACCAAGATGTCGCCGACGCGGCTTGCACTGGAGCTGATACACGACTACTGTGAGTAGGAGGCGGCACCAACAGTAGCTTCGGGGGCCTGTTACGCGCTCTCATTGGATCGTGACCGGAATCCTTCAACGGTGGCTATGTCTCCTTTCGTGCAGGTGACTTATGCAGAGCCAAGCAAGCGGTCAGCAAGACGTGATCGTAAAGCAGAATCGTAGACGATACCACGATGAGCATAGTACTCTGTACTCGTAGGTAGGTTGATAGGTAGGTATGTAGGTAAACATGGGAGACAAGGCAGAACAAGGCATACATCGGATCTCCATCGCTGTGCAGCAGTAGCAGCAGCAGGCTTCCCGTCTCACAGCAATTGCTTGCATATGCAACGAGCTGGCTGGTCACGGCTACTATCTACAGACCAGACCCAGGACAGATCCAAGAGGAGAGCCACAGAGGGTCGGCCGGAGTGTTGATTGCCCGAGCCTCCCAAGCTTTTGCCAGACCCTCGCCAAATCCATAGCACACACGCTAGACATTGGCTATGGCAGTTATGACGACAGCACCGCGTGCCATTGCTCCGTCTCTGCTCCGTCCCAACCGCATGTCGCGGCCGTCTGATCGACGCGCTGGATAAAAGTGAGATTTAAAGACTCTGACACTAGCTGTCGCGGGTGACGGATGACGTCTGCCCTGATCTGCTAGATCGGCATTTTAGGTGAAATCGACGCGTTCGCATCGAGATCTAAGGAGACGCCTTGGATGAACAGAGATGAACTCAATTGAATTTGTTGGTTGAAGAACGTAGATCCTTCTAACTCTGGGCTTACTACCTCTGTCGTCCGTCGCACTTGGATTTATCTGGAAACGCCAGTCCAGTCCGTTGAGTTCAGCACTTCCCTTTTTGTAGCGAACACCAGCTGGCATCAATTAGTTTAATAGTACTTACCTAGGTAGTCATATTGTCCATCACCTAGAATGATTTTTTTTTTCTAGCTGCTCCTCATCGGCCCAAAATAGCTAACGCCGAGACCACCTAACTACATGTATCCCTTTTGGCCAGGCGCTCACAATAGAAGCTTCAATTTCCCTTCCTCTCCCTCATCCCTTATAGCTGCCGACCGCTTGACCGTGATGAGAATAGCTTGCGGGTTTGCTTGCTGCTGCGCCGAAAACCTTCTGATGGAAATTGGGCGATGGGGCTGACGCCTGCGAAACTCCAATCATCGCTGGACACAAAGCTGTGGCTTATTCGACAAGGTGCGCAAGGACTCCTGCCAAATATATAGTATTGGCCAGGAAACGTAAATTAATGAGCTCCGAAAGAGGCATTTCGCTCGTCCACGTTGGGAACACACTACCTGGCATACTGTACGCAAACAGCAGACCGCAACATCGTAACAGTAACACTTCCAATACCTACATGTAGCTAATCAATCGGAGCGGACCGGCAACAACTTTGGGTAAACATGTATTAAGACAGGAGGCTTTGACCGCCGCGCATCTCCTGGACGACAAGCCTCCCTGAGAAAGTCAATAAACCAGGTTACCATGTCGCTGCTTGCCGCATCATTGTTCTTTTCTATTTCTTACTACGGTAAGGGACGACATATAGGGACGGGCCAACTCAAAACACAAACAGTTCAATGTCGTCACATCGTCATATCATACCTATACCTAGGTAACTGTGCCGAGGTTGGTAAGCTTGTGAGCCAGCGATCTCATGAGCCTCAAATACCCGAATGCCATGCCACTATTTTGATGGCTGCTGTCACATTGCATAAAGAGCGGCGTTTCAAACGCCGTAACACACACTAGGGAGTAAAAAAACTATGTGGGGATTGGTCTGGGGGTAACATAAAGTGGAACTCTCCTACACTAGAGCATGTTTTTATTCGGTATCTCGAGGACTTTTTTTTCATGTTCTCAGCCCTGTCGGGAGCGGACTTTTGACCCGTTGGGATAGCACCCCAGCAACCAAATCTCACGCAATCCTAGCTAGGCAAGTAAGTAAGTAACGCGGACTGTTTTCGAAACCATCGTTCTTTGACAAGGCTCTGTCGCTTCTTACCTGGACCCTGATATATACGTAGTTCGTACGGGTTTACGAGTAGATACTGTGCTGGCTGTGTGTGCGCATCGACTGACCAGAGACATAGTGTCTCGCCGAAGAGAGACCAAACGTGGCCGAAGGGCTCCGATAATCTGAGCAGAGACACGCCATTCCTATGTCCCGAGTCTCGCCATGTTCTAGTCAGCATTGTCTCTTTTTTTCGTAGCGGGAGAGAACGGGGCCAAGGAGGCCGTCGTCAGCTTCTTCATGTACATACACTTGCTTATAAAAATAATACCAAGTGACGATGACGATGGAAACGAAGGGCCGGCCTTACCCGTGTAGCTGGAATGGGTTGGGGGCGCCCGTCAGCACTTGAATGTTCTTCGTAGCGCGCCCCGGGGTTTCCAGACTGTTGGAGAGAGTTTGTTGCTTGTTTAGCGCAGCTGGCAACTACGGAAATGAACATTATTTGCGCGTGTAGGACTGTCTCTGGACTGTCTGAGAATCGAATAGCGAGCACGATTCATTGGACCGGTTCGCTGATAGTGGTGCAGGGGAGTCTGAACCCAGCTAAACCACGTTTCCTGAACGAGAACTGGGAGGGCTAGCTCTCACGTAAGAGCCCGAGGACGACGCTTTAGCTTACTTAGCTACAGTCTGTCTGTTGCTACTTGTTGGTAGCTGGTAGATAGGTAGGTAGTGCATATTCATGTTTTGCATGCAACAATGCTGTGCAACATTACGGTATTCGCATGTCGTATACCTTGATAGTTCCTGCTGCGAGGGTTGGGGAAGTTATGTGAATGCATCCTAATATCAACGCCATACCGATCACCAATTGACATGCAAGAACCGTACATGAACTACCCTTAACCATTGCGTTACTACTAGTGCCGGTAGCCAAACTACCTGTGTAGGTTCTTTGGTGGCATCGTGTTACCCCGTATGAAAAATCCCGTGCCTTACCAACTCATTATTAACACCGTTGCGCTGGTGCATTACATTGATTGATTGTCACCGACGGTCGACTACGAAGTATGTAGCATCGAGGCGTCTGAAATCTGTCTCTGGCGGGATGAACTGTCTCATCAGTTTCCACACTGATTTCGCTAGTTATGAATCCGACTACCGTGAATGTATACACTATGATTTACCTATGGATGCAAGGTTGCTAATTTCCAGCTGCTTTTTGTCATCTCAGACAGACCTACCACCTGTACTAGCCATTGCAATGTCTCTTCATATCTTCACATGTCTGTCTACCTACCTACCTTGCCAAGTATGTATGCCATGTCCGATGCCTTCGCACTCTACTACGGTATCCTATCCTAATTCAGACATCCATCGCGATGCTGAAGGATACAGACGACATGAAACCTGTGATGGTGACGCCTTGTTGTCGAAGAGAAGTGTGTCATATCTCGTAATTAACAGGTTTTCTGGTAACGGTTGCTCCAGGTAACGGGTCGAGACTCACCGCCTGAACTGCAGCGTTTTATGATGTAATTGATGCATAAATTGCTGTTACACCCGTGCACATGGCGTTTAGGGAATAGCGGCTGTTCTTTTTCGGCATAGCGATCACGACACTGGTCCCACGCAGGCTAGTACGGATGAAGATCTGGCAGGCATGCTGCTCCAGCAACACATTGGACAAGAGACGGGGGGTCAATTGCCTTGTGTACCTACCTCGCTTCCCATAGTCTACTTCTCGTACACCTCCTCACATCTACTCCCTATGTGTCTACAATAGGTACGTGGGATGTAGGTATACAAAGCAGCCAGGCGAGAAGCGTGCGTACCATCTCAAGGTACCTAGGTATCTATCACCAGGGAAGCCCCCAAGTTCGGGTGAGGACTGGCTCTGCCCTGGCGGTTACAGCTCTCTGGAAACGACGCTAGCGACGCCTAGCATGAAGCCTGTACCCAAGCTGCCTGCCGTTTTCAGCAGGCCTGTGGAGCGGGCGCCCAGTTAGAACTTACAGATAGTACTAGCTATGTACCTAGGTACTATATAGAAGCGATCGTCAAAAGCCTTCCCAATTGTGACCTGGCTCGAGCTGGCACAAGCTGGGCAAACCTGGGTACGTGTAATACATCAATCTGTATGTAAGTAGCAGTTGTCAATGACCCATTGGTGACTGGGTTACAGCATGTATCTTTGTACCGACCTCTTCCACAGCTTCGTGCTTCGTAGGTAAGTACATACTGCATGTACACTAAGTGCGGATGTACCTTGCACCGGCGCTGGCTCCAAAAACTGCCTGGCAACGCTCGCCAGTCCTCCACACCCTTTCCCCCCATCGCCCTCGCAACCAGCGTGCAGCGCAGGCCTGTCCTGGGACACTGAAACTCCACCGTGCCACGCCTGGAGAACAAAAACCAATGCATCCCCTCTGCCCTCCTTCATGCCTCTCCTTCTCTCTGCAGCCGAACGTGTGAAGCCCGTCCCTCCCCGGTCTTCAACTAAGGTGCAAGCCGGTGCCGCTTCTCGACAATTCCTCGCACTCATCCGTAGGCATTCACGAAGTTGTCCTTGCTAGGCTTCTGGCTCTGTGGTATGTGGTATATGGAGACGGCTGTGATTCTGCTCCTCCCCCCCAAATCTGACCCCAACTCTGACCCTACTTTACTGCCTAACCCTCCCCCAAGGTTATATGACTCCAGGCTTTTCATAATACGCCAAGGGATATATGATTGTGCAGCTTGAAAGTTATGGGGAGAACGAGTATTGTAATAAAGAAAAAATCTCAACTGACATGAATTGGGGGAACATAGAAATCACGAGTCCATTTCCTTAATCGATTTTCTTTGGGTTACCACTCCCACCTGCAAGACAATTCGGCCTTCGAATGGTCCATACGGAAGCGGCACTTCGACCTGTTCTTCCACATTTCCCTCTCTTTACAACGATTTCTTTAAATACCCAGTCCAGTACAAACGAGTTTCGGCCCAACCAGGAAGTCGACGACAATCGAACACATTCATTATACCTCCATTCCTCGTTTCTGTAATTGTTTCACGAAATACCCCTGGAAATTCAGCACACTCCAAGAATTGAAGGAATATCTGGACTAGTTATCGACTTTCAAGTGGCAGACCTTACCGCTATTGCATTTTCTACGCCAATTTTCGCATCCAAAAGCAAACTGATCAACGACTGTATACTCGACGTGCAACACATGCTCTAATCGTCCAAGCAACCATTGCCTGTACAACATTGCGTTGCGGAGCCATCCGTACTTGCTCGAGCCTTTGTACCCGACTAATTGTGGAGGTTGGGTTGTTTTGTTTGTTCCTACAGCATTCCAAAATCTTATGAGGAAGCATCTTGTAGTTGTGGTAACAGCCTCCCATTTGTTAGCAACACGCATGGTCGATCATATTCCAAGCAGCCATTGGCAAGTAGGATTATAATCATAGATCCTCTCGTCAATAGCCATAATATTTTGCAAGAATGGAGGCCTCTTCACCACTCGCGGCCATGCAGCCCACGGCTGCCCCCTCGTGGTGCTTTGCTGCTCATGGCCCCTTCGGTTCTGGGAACATCTTCGGGGGGAGTCGACCGAGCATTCGGAATCAACTGCAGCGAGCAAGGCCAGATTATTTCAACGTGAAGTCTATCCGTGGCTCATCTCCTTCTGCTAGTCTAGCTGCCGATCTATCACAGAATTTTTCTATAGACAACGACTTTAGGTATGATTGCAGGGCCTGAGATATAGAGGAGACTGTACTAACACCACCAGCCCACGGTTTCCAACTCCTCGTCGTGCTCTTTTCACGTCAAATATGACGGGTCGAGGTAAGGAATATACTCGGATGTTCCCGTCTAGATACTGACAATGACGGCCAGAAACAATTACTACACCACCTCTGCCACCATCATCCTCTCCCTGGCCAGTACCGTCGGAGGTCATGGACATTTCGCCTGTACCACAGAAGGAGCCCTTCGGCGCTTCAATAGAAATAATATCACCTACCCCGGTCCAGTCGCCGGATGTGGATATGATGGAAGAGTCCCCACTTCAGATGACACGGCCATCTTCTACTATGCTGGATATACCCAGATCAGTGACTGAGTAAGCTTGGACCGACTAACTAAATTGGTGTCAGTGGGACTAATGTGTAAATAGTAGCCGCAAGAGACTTGGTCTGCGACGTCCGTCGTTAACTCGAACGAAAGGTCATTCCACCAGCTCTCTGCTAAACCGCATACACCCTGAGGGTCAAGTTTCGTCGTTTCGATTTGGCGCTGGTTCACCAGGATTGTCCCCTTCAGAGCTTTTCCAAGAATCCCCGCCTCAGGAACGGCGGCCGCAGTCGGCGAATAGCCCATCAGGTATTGCCCCTGGTACGTTCCGTAAACAACTGCAGTTTGCCAGCCTAACAGGCACGCGCGAGCACCGCAGCAATGGAGCGCCTTGTGCTAGTCATATCCGCCGCCCTTCTAACCCTTTCAACCGACCACGTCGGCCCTACCGTCGATCCCTGAGTATGTTCGAGAACCCAGGCGATGTCGTAAAGGCAAAAACTGAGGAGTCTGCTCCTCAAAGCAATTTGCAATCAGTTATGGATGTAGAGGAAGAGGAGGACCTGCTGCTACCGCACTTCTTCCCTGATGGCGAAAATGACGGCATTCCCAGAATTTCTCGAGACACGTTTCTGGAACTTCTAGATGGAAAGTACAACGCGTCTTTTACGCAGAAGATCATTATTGATTGCCGTTTTGAGTACGAGTATGATGGTGGCCACATTGATGGCGCCATCAACTACAACGACAAGGATCTCTTGGCTCGGCATCTCTTTGAGACACCAATGGAAGGCAAGACAATACTGATTTTTCATTGCGAGTACTCTGTACATCGCGCTCCCCGAATGGCTCGTCACATTCGGGCTGAAGATCGATCAGTTAATGCCGAGTGCTATCCCCACCTAACTTACCCCGAGGTATATCTCTTGGAAGGTGGCTACAAGGAATTCTTCAAACTCCAGAGACACCGCTGCTATCCCCAGGCCTATGTCGAGATGGGTGCTGTGGAGCACGCCAACACCTGTGAGCGTGAACTGGGGAAGCTTCAACAGAAGCGCAAATGCCTGGGGCGAGCCAACACTTTTGCGTTTGGCGGGAATCACGAGCCGACGATGTTCGACTCCCCTACAGCGCCCGGACGAGCTGCTGCGCAGCTATCGCCCAACATGATGATCGGTAACTCGCCTATCCTCGGTGATTATCGATCACCTGCTCGACGCATGGCCTCGTACTGAGCAGCTTGGGCCTATGAAGAAAACGTCTAATGATTAATCACAACCAAGGAATCCGGTTGATGCACGAGATTTCTAACCTGTCCTACAAAACACCTTCGAGCTACCCGACTATATCGTCTTTTCCTTTCCTTTGAGACGGATAATAGTCGCGTGGTCTCGATGCTAGTTTGTTGCCTACTTGTTCTAGGCATTGTATATAAATTGTGGCTTTGATGAGTCTGTGGCCTTCATGCACGACGTGAAGAAAAAAACGAGAGAACTGGAACCTGAGAAGGTATCGCGAAGATTTCATGGTGAACGAGAGATTGTGGATGCACGAACAAAGTATGTGGGGTGTTCGTGTTATCATTAAGGGCGCGGAGTCTGCGATTCGACAGTCGGTTTGAGCAAGAGCTCGGGGATACCGAAGGAATCGAGGAGACTTGTATTGGCGCCAGCATTCTAGGCTGAGAAATTTGTTCATTCCATGTAAGAATGGTGGTGAACCAGCCTGGGATTCTATGAAACAACAAAGAAGAAGAAGCATCTAGGTAGCTTTACCAAGGAAGATAGCTTACCTCTCGAGATGGCGTTTACTTACACAGTAGACGGACACTCAGCAGCATTACTGCGGCCGCAAGGCATTTTCTTTATTTCTTAGCATAGGAGCAACGAGTAGGAACTTGTGGAAGAAGACGTATAGTAGATCTCAGAGAAAGAAATCAATCTATTACGCATCATCATGCTCCCTACCTCTCCCCTCCCTGTGCTGTTGTGAGAAAAAAAAAAACGCTTGCGACATTTGTATTAATACAAGTTCCTCTCTATTTGGTGTTGTTGCATTTCGTTTCTTTCAGAAAAATGGGCAAGTAGTTCGTTCATTTCCATTTGATCTATTCTTCCATCTTGTCCTCTTCGCCTCCTTCCTCCTCTTCCTCCTCGTCATCTTCCGAGATGGCCTTCTTGGCCAACCGCTCGGCCTCCTCGAGGAGGTCCTTGGGAACCTCCATATGCCGTCCCTTGGTGGGGCCCGCGGCGTTGCTGATCCAGCTCATCTCGAGCTCGAACTCCTTGTCCTTGTTGTCCTGCTGCGCGACGTAGATGATGCGCGCGGCCTCCTTGACGGCCTGCTTCAGGTCCAGCTTGCCCTCGGAGAGATTGAGCTTCTCGAGCTCGGCCTTGGCGGCCTGCCGGCCTTTGCCTGTCGCCGCGCCGTAGTAGCCCCAGTACATCCCGCTCGGCTCGATCATGTACAGCCCTGGACCGCCGTGGGAACCTTCTATTTTACCGCCTGGGCCGACGCTGGGGCCCGAGCCTACCTCGCCGTCCACGGGCGCCTCGAGCTCCGAGTCGAAACCGCCGACGATGGCCGTGATGCCGAAGGGTCGCACGGATTGGTACAGCGTGTAGGCTTGTAGGTAGCCGCCCATGCGGCTTGCGAGGTCCGATGTCGAGATGGGTGTTTTGAACGTCTCGCGCCAGGCGCGGGCTTCGTCGCGGGCGCGGTCGACGAAGTGGTTGCCGTCGGGGACCATGCCTGAGTATACCTATTATGTTTTGCAAAATGGTAAGTACGTAGAATGCGAGCACGAACGAACGAACTAGATGCCGGTAGCAAGAAACGCCGTGCACGTGGATGGAACGGCAAGGGCGAGAAACGTACGACTCCTAGGTGCTTATCCACTGTGGCGATCCGCTTGTTGGCACCGGGCTTCAGCAGCTTCGAGGTCACGACCTTCTCGACGGCCAGGACCACGCCATCCTTGCAGCGGATGCCGACTGATGTGCCGCCGTTCTCTACGGCCTTTACGGCGTACTCGACCTGGAAGTTGCGGCCGTCGGGGGAGAAGATGGAGTTGGCGAGATCGTAGCCCGTTCCTATCGACGTCTGTTTTGGTTGTTATCGTTGTGTTAGCCTTCTACTTTCTGTGTGCTTGGAGCGGTGGCCTGCATTGTATTGGCGGGGATGAAGGAGCTTGGCTATAACTCAACGCAGCTTAACTTACCATGTTGGGCAGACGGTCTGTAGATATTGGGCGGAGCTGGAGTTGTGTTTAGGTATTTGCGTGATCGAGTTACTGGTGTAGTAGAGGAGGGTGTGGTTGTGAGAATGGCGAGGTTAACGACTGGTGGTGGTGGTGTTGAAGCTTCAAGTTCTGTTAGAGGGAGGGATGTTTACCAGGCAGCCTGAGCTGCGTGTCGCACTTGCACTGCTGTTGCATCAGTGGGTGAGCTTGCACCGACCTTGGTTGGTAGTCCAGTTTAACTACCGGCTGTGGCTGAAGCTCTGTCTTCCTTGCTTCGGCACCAGCCACATGTACATCTCATCATAGGTACCTAGGTACCTAACCTTGGAACAGAACTTGGGGAAGGTACTTAAGTACATAAGTGAGCTCGCCCCATTTAGTTTACGTAAACTGGGAGGTGGGTACTTCCTTCCAGGTAGAGAGTCCCAACTAACCCCAACTCCTGGGTAAGGGCCATCAGGGTATCTGTACTCCAACGGCTTTCGCTTCCAACAAAGTTGAGAAGAGAGAAAGCAAGTACTGTTCTACTGAACCTACTTGTGTGTATGAGGCTCATAAAATGGGTAGTAAATATCCAGAAACAGGCTTTCTCTGATTCAACTTTTTATTATTCAGGTCATCAAATTAAAATACTAACTACATGGTATTTCATTATGAGACTCGAAATCTTGCCTTGACTATCGCATTTCTACCTTGCCCGTCCACCCACGTCCTTCACAGTTGAAATTCCCAATACCGCGCGCTCTTGCGGCAATTGTGTGCGAGCCTAAATAGCAACATTCGGCACTGCCAGTTTGTCTCTCTTTGCCTGTTCGTTTCCCCATTCCATCCTGCTCCCTTCATTCTCCAAAATTTGCGTGCATTATCTACTCGCACTGAAGGCCTTTGGGCAATGCGCCTGAACAAAGAAACACGACGATTCCGTTCTCAGACTACCTATTCCCACGTTGAGTTCTTAGGGTGGGGTTTGTTAACATCCAAGACAGATTTCCCTACGGCAGCCATAGCATTGACTGCTGTGTCGCTCTACTGTTCTAGGGTGACGAGAGAGGAGTTGGGTGTGTAGGAGAGACTCGCGCGATTAGCTGTTGTTAGCATGCGACGCTCGCAAGCTCTCTAGCCATAAGTTTCGTTGCCCCCCAAACGCCACCATGACGCAAGCTCCCCCACGAAGATCACGCATTGAGATACCTCTCCCCTCGAAACCTCGAGATTATCGACCCGGCGACGGGCCTCCTCTCGCGCCCATCCGCGTGAATCTCGAACACGACACTGACGCGTTTATAATCGAGAAACGCGTCCTCCCGGGCAAACCTATCAATGGCGACCTGAAGCTAGAGCTCTACTACATTGTAGGCTGGCCTAACTTGCCCAACGCCCGCGTCGCCATCCTGGCCACCAAGATACTCGATTACGTATCACCTTGGACATTAGAGGATTGGGAATACGAACAATCTTTAGAGAGAGACAAGGAAGAGGAGGAACGTTCAGCAGCCGAAAAGAGAAAACAAGAAGAGCGCGCTAAGGCTCTTGCAGCTTCTACACCAGGCACGGGTACCTCTACACCCGCCACACCCGGGCAAAAGAAACGAGGGCGGCCGAGCAAGGCGGAAATGCGTGCCCGCCAGCTCGCACAGCAAGCAAGCTTTGGCAAAGAAGATTTGGCAAATGTGCCGTTACCACCCACCAAGCCAACAGGACCATCACTGTCAACTCCTAAAAAAAAGCTAGCACAAGTGTCGACGGATTTAGAGGATTTGGAAGAAACAGACATGAATGAAGCTATACTCCGACAGCTCAAGGGTGGTGATGAGGATGACCGCAGTTCCGAGTCTACTGAAGATCTCAGTAGTAGACCAGACACGTTAGGAAACGGAAATGGCTCCTCACTCGAAGCCTTTCCACCTGGCCCTTCATCTCGAGGGCATGCTGAATTGTTCGTCCCCAACCTACTATCGTCAGCCCCAGATGAAATTTCTCGATCTGTTTCCCCGGTTCCCCTTGCCCGCAGGAAATGGACACCACTAAATGCGAAACCTAAGCTCACCACTCATGTGCCAGTCCCGACGTATCCTAAACCCTCACGAATGAAGAAGCCACCAGTAGCGGTGGGTAAGACCATCACTCCTGTACCAGCACCTTCATACCCAAATCCAAAGCCGAAAGCACCCAAACGGAAACATATTCCAACTGTCACTCCTGTACCAGTACCTTCTTACCCAAATCCAAAGCCGAAAGCACCCAAACAGAAACACATTCCAACTGTCACTCCTGTCCCGACCCCACATTGTCCTGTTCCTAAGCCGAAAGAACCAGAAGAGGTAGCATTCTCACGGGTAGTCCCTCCGAAGCCCCCGCATGCAATCGAGGTAGTTAACTTACAATGGGTTTACAAACGGACTCATGGTCCTCCAGGCCCAGTAATGGCTTATGATATGGCTATAGCATTGAATGACTTCAATGTAGTGCGTCCCGCTGATCATGACCATCGGTGTTGGTCTACCACGGCCGATATCGGGATCGAGAATGATAAACCCGATGAACTTGATGAACTTGATGACCTGGCCCATACATCTTCGAAAAAGGAAGCAACGCCAGTTGCTAAACCTAAAAGTTCTCGCAAGAGAAAAGCACAGCCGGAAGAAGAATGGGAAGTAGAGTGCTTGGAAGACTCCAAACTATCTGCAATCGATGGTGTACTGGTCCGTCACTACCTAGTCCGCTGGGCGGGCGACTGGCCAGCGGACCAGAATCCAACATGGGAGCATGAGGACAACATTCCACCTGCCTTGATAAGAGAGTACTTTGGACGTAAGGAGAGGGAGAGGGCACCTTGGAACGGTGTAATTCTTGAACCACTCGATAGACCACTAATCTATGGAAGTAAATCAGATGGACAAGCATCAGATGTGCGTCCATCAAAGGGACACGCATCAAAGGAACGAGCGTCGAAGGGACATGCGTCAAAGAGACGGTTCACAGCTTTTAAGGGAATGTATTCGAATGTTGCCGAAGCCTTCGAGGGCGACGCGAGTGGAGGACTGGGTAGCAGCTCTTTGGAAGACCAGCGAGCCCAGGATGGAGAAGATGACGCAGAAGAATACTTGCAGGTGACAGAGCAAAACCAGATGACTAGGCCAATGCACAAGCTTCGGGCTGATGCCTCACTGCTGCGAGAGCTTACAGACTCTATTCTACTGTAATTATACTATGGTGGAGCTAGCAAAGGATCACACTCACAGCTTCACATGGTGATCATGAGACACGAGGAAAATCCGTCCCTTGGTGGGTTGGCAAGGAAGAAATGACGGTTTGCGTATATACTTGAGCATGAACTTATGGCCTTCCAGCTTGTAAATATCCCTCCGCTCGCGCTGGGTATTGCGAACACCAGAGCTGGTTAGATGCGCTAGAATTAGCTCGTTAGTCAGAAAAGAAAAGAAAAAAAAAATAGCTTTAATCAATTCTTTTGTGTATTCCTTTTCTATTCTAACATGTGAACGTGAAGGAAATCTCTCAGATGCCAGTTGCTCAAAAATGAGAAATCATCTCCAGATCGAGTTTACATGGCTGATATAAGAACGCAACGCAGTAAGTAGGGAAAATGGCCCAGGAGGCGAGGCTCCTCTCGTCGCATCATCGTGAACTGGCCTCCTCTCGAAAACCGCCAGTAACGCCGTCAAGCAAGTCCTTCGTGTTCTTCTGCAGCAAATCAGATCAGTGGACTCGGTTATATATACCTCCCCGTCTCAGCATCACAGGGCAGTATAAGACGATGACGGTACCGTCTCATCCTAGTAGAGTCCTCCCAAGATCTATGCATATCCTAGCAGAGCGCAAACCAAGCCCGCGTTCATCGTACTCCTCCTTAGTTAGCTGCCGAACAAGAAGGCAGCTACTCGGTACTCTCCAGCTCATCTAGCGGTCCCCCGCAGTGGTCAATGGCGTATTTCACCCCGCAGTAAGGAAACTCCCTGATACTCTCCCGGAACACATTCCGCGCGAACTCGACGTCGCGGAAGTGGAAGATGGTCGTCTTGTTGCTCTTCTGTTGTTCGTTGGCTACCTGTCTGGCGCGCTCCTCGTCATCGACCCATTCCTCAATGATCTCTGAGCGCTGGGATGCAGTTGCGGCAGATGTAGGGGTGATGGTGGTAGCGGTGGTGAGAGCAGGGGTGGATGCGTCGGCGCTGGTATTGTCTGGGGGGTTCGTGTCTGTTTTGGTTATTGTGAAGTCCCGGATGTTTCTGCGCTCGAAGAAATGGTCTAGCAATCTGCCGAATACGCCCTCGTAATGCGGGAACACGAGACATCGCGATGCACCGCGCTGCGTGATCTCGCGCATGAGGGAGTCGGGGACTGGGTATGACGGGGTGTTCACGAGGCGAATGTTGACGGGAGTATTGTCGATGTTCAGGGTGCTGTTGTGGACTGAGGCGATGTGCGTTGCGTAAGCGTATGCGTCGCGGCAGTGTACGAAGTATACGACCATTGCTTTTGAGTTGGCCCGGACAACGCGGAGAATGGGACCGCCGCGGACGCGAGATAGGACATCGAACCATTTTGTCTCTGGACGCAAGCCGGTGAAAACGACCATGCGGGATAGGTCTTGAATGTTGGTGGGATACCGGGATGGTAGAGGCGTGTACTGGATTCCGTGCGTGAACATCTGCGGGACGTTGTCTGAGTTGGTGGCGCGGGCGAAGGGGCCCATTTGATCGCGGAGGGCTCGCGCACGTTCTTCCTCCGTGTCCCAGATCCCGAGGACTGGAGGCTTGGGTTTGGAAAAGGAGATCAGCTGGGTCTGTTCGACTTGCTCTGGTGCTCTCTGCGAGACAGGGGCGACTTGTGCGGGAGTAGCGACTGCGTTGGGATCTGGCAGTGCAGACACGGGCGAGAGCACACGGGTAGGAATAGGCGGCAGAGTCACGGCATCAACGAGGTTGAACATCAGCTTCTTTTTATCGACTAAGAACTTTAGGTTCACCTCATCGTTAAGCTCGCTGTCATTACCGCCCTCGCGGTCCTGGATGACGAGACTGAGACCACTATCGGTATGGATCTTGAAAAAGTACTTGATCCAGTCTCCAGGGACCTCGACTCTAAGATACTTGTAGATATTGTCAAAGGTCTTAAGGTGATCTTCGAGTTTATTGATCAGGATATTATTGTTGTCGACCTGCGTCATGATACCTTGGATCTTCTCCTGTTTCTCTCGAAGATTGCGCATGAGGGTATTGCCCAAGGAGACTGGGCATGCCTTCGATTCGGGAGGTGTAGGGGCATTGCATACGCCACAGGGGTGAGCAACATCTAGAAGGTTTGCAGCGTGAAATGCGTTCTGGGTCTTGAGGACTTCCACCTGGTGACGAACGCGGGCGATATCGCCCGTGGAGTTGTCGCCGTTAGTCCATGGAGCAGACATCAAGTGGTGCAGTTTTTCTTCGGCTGCACGCCGGATGGCAGGAGCGCTGCCATGGCATCCGTTTACGAAAGGATCCATAGCAGCAACAGCGGCGATAACCAGATTACGGTGACTACTCAATACTGCTGAAGTAATAGTAAATAACCCGTAAGTAAATACTACAGCCGAGATTACCTAGGTAACTACATTATTTGTTAATATGAGACAAGAGCTCGAACGTTGGTCTCGAATGACAACCGAGCTTTGGGGGATACATACTCACAAAAGGGAAGGAACTAGCAGTGAAGTCAGCTTAGGAGATGGTAGCTATGAACTACCTGGTTCAACTTGCAGCTTGCTAATTAGAATGCTAGCGAGAACCTAAGCTCCGAGGCATAAAGCCACTGGCAAAGTGTAATCAGGAGTGTGACGCAAAGTAAGAACCTCAAGAAATATGATGGTGACATAGAGGATGAGAGCAAAGTAGGATCAGAGAGGGTGGAAGAGGTGGAAGGGGAAAAGGTTAGGATTGGAAGGTAGAGGGGGTAGGCACTTAGAAAATGAATATCTATATGGGATGGGGCCAGGTGAAGAGAATTTTCAACATATAAAGCAAACATGCCGAGACTTTATCAATGATGTCGCCGTGGGTTAGATTCAGATGTCAGCGACATGGGGACATGTTCAATGGCTAGAATTACGGGGCACCATCACGACAATGTACATGGGCAGAGACTTTAGGGGTCGTCAAGAGGCTATGAACTGAAGCTAATGCACTTGACAAAGCCAAGCTGTTGGCTATATTCATTGACATATGAGGTACCAATAAACCTTCTTATTTGTAGGAAAGGCTATGTATAGAGTTACATGTGAAAGCTCCGAAAAGGTCTTTTTGTTCGAGAGATCAGGGGAATTGATCAGACCTTTACCCTGCTTAACTCGGCATGTCAGAAGTGGTTGAATTTTAGACAGGGGGATGCCAAAGAGAGCTTGTTAAGTCCTTAGAGAATAGAATTTCCCAGTTAGAAGTCTGAACATTGGACATAGCACCAGCATCATGATAAGTGTGAGAGATCGTGGATATGTACATGCGGTCTGTGCTATATACGGGGGTGGTTTGTGAATAATGGTGATTGTATTGAGCGAATTATGTTTAACAAAGGACTCCATCTGTGCTGCTTTTCGTTTGAAGAAGCAGGCACAAGGTGATGACAGAGGTAGGTGGTCACGTTGTCAATACATGAACTATTCATTGTAACTCCAGAGCCAGCAGGGGTGGATTCATAAGATGCAGGTTGGAGTTCTTTGAACACTCTTGTTGAAGTTGCAGAAAAGGGTTCTAGCGTCAACAAATCCAATGATATGGATCCAAAAGCTTTCAGAAAATCTCGAGTAAGTGGTAATATCGAATTCAATCATGTGGGCTTGGACTCAGAATTCAGAGGCACCTTCAAGATGTAGAACTGCAGTCAATTACGAATGAAGAGATAATCCCCAAAAATATATGCATCGATTTGAGAGGGATATTATGTAATTTATTAGCTGAATGACTGTGGTACAAAGGGTGACCATATTATTAGCTCCTACCCCAATTGTATCTAACATTTAGGTCTATATGCAGGATTCTAGTGTGTACAAGAAAAAGATAATCTTTCGTGGGTTATCCATCATGCAAATATGAACAAGGTCAAACACTGTTATGATCTACCTTGATTGTAATTGGAGATAGTGTTGCTGTTGTTAGATGCCCCTTTTATACGTTTAGGGCTGGCCATCATCCATCTCTGAGCTCGGAGAATCACTGCAATAGGTTGAGTCAGTAACCACTTTGAAGCCTATATATGGCATCTCTAAGATTTCGGAATCTTTATTGCATGCTTGTAACCCGAACGGGGCTTATTGTCACCCCAGGAAACCGGAAGAAAATAAGGACTTACAGCCATTCTTTCCATCTACCAAGGAGAACTCGGGCTCTGCAGAGTCTCTCTGGAGGCTTTCTAGGAACCGTAATATTGTGTTGGCACCATTTTGTTGCATGGCAAAACGCTCCAAGAGCAATATCTCCTCCGTATAATGATGCGGTGTGGCATAAGCAGCTTGTAGTGTCATGCCCCACGGTAAAGCCGCCAAATTCGCACTACAAAACCCAGCACCGGCACGCCAGAAGTATGGGAGCGCATTAGCTATAAGGCGAATGTATGGGACCGGGTTAATCTCAGCAGGGATCTCTGATAATGGAGGGTCGTATATCGATATAAGGTTCGAGTAAAGAAGCACATGGACCATCCAGTATAAGAGCGTCAAATGCGCGAAGGACAAATGAGAGGTGGTATGTGGGTTAGTAGTTACCTCATCGTCATCAAAATTCTTCAGGGTGCCGCCCATTTCCTTGAGCCAGTCCTGGAGACTTTGACCGAGGCGCAGAGACGCCTCCAATACCTTGGTGTGTAAATTAGCCTTCATAATAGGATCATCGCAGCATCGCATCTCATCTGTGTCAGCTAGTATGTCGCTCATATCAGCTAGCATATCATATATTGTATCAGTAGATGTCTTTGGCTCCTTTTCCCATGGTATTGTTCTCCATTTAGGTGTGTTGAGAGGGGCTCGCTGTCGATCTTTTATTGCTGCGACGAGCTGTACTTGGCCTTAGCAAACAAAGTAGGAGCTAGATCGGAATGGCAGGGCTTCAACTAACAAGGAAATATCGCCCTTCAGTGAAAAGTTTATGGCTCATGCCAGTCTGATACAAATAAGGGCTCCGTGTTTCGATGATGGCTCGCAAACCGTCTACGTGGCTGTGCCATTTGGATCCTTGCAACAGCGGATTTTCGTCGGTACCATGGTAGGTCTATGTTGAACGAGCTGTTAGCTCGGTTAAGCAAAATGTTGGTTCGAAACATTATTTTTATCTGTGAAACCCGACAAACTCACCTCAAGAAGACTGAAGAGTTTGCACGCAGCGAGCGTAGAGTCACTCTGTACCCTAGATGGGAGAGACAGTCCTGCTTGAAGCTTGCGTAGGGCATAACAGTATGACCGAATAGCATGTTGTGACTCGCCAACAGCAAACAAGCCCAGACTGAGAAAAGAAAAGTGAACTGCGTCGTCGGAAGTGCGGAGTTCGTGCGCGACCTCGATCCAGTCGCTGGACGAAGCCAAACGGTTTGCTGGGAAATACTTATCTAGGAATATACTTATGTATTTTTCCACGTAAGCCGTTTGTGCCAGCTTGTTTGGGAGGACAATGTCAGTGTCACCAAGACCAAGTTGCCGCTCGGAGCTTTTTCGATAGATAACAGGGACAGCGTTCGCTTCGGTGCGCTGCGTAGAATTAAGAAATATCCGTTCCCTTCCGTAACCTCCGCATTCCAGCCCTGCACCGGAGCACTGGGTGCACACAGGACGTTTTCTGTCACAACCCTTCTTCCGTCTCCTACAGGTTAGGCATCCCTTGGAACGACCGGGGACCCCAACCATGGCCTAAATACGAAAGGTCACCTATGACAGCACATCCGATATATATGCATGTCTGTGATCGCAACAGACGGCGGTCTGGTCGGATCAGACCACACTTTACAGGGAAAGCTCCCTTAATGGCGGATATGTTCCAAGCTAGGTTGAATAGCCACCAAGCGGTGAAGCCACGATCAAAAAGCTATTCGCGGAGGCCACCACTGGTATGTTTGCTGTTGTACGGAACTGGAGGCAACGACATCGTCGTTTTATTGAGGCTTTTGGAAAGGTTGGTGAGCGAGCTGACGTCCCCTAGGTCCGGATGACCATTTGAAACGTGATCCGCTTACGTTAGCTCCTTGATCCCTTACTCACAGTGGCTAGCTTGAACAGGTGCCACTTTGAATGCCGGGGGTCCCATGTGTCGCGTTGAGCGAGCTGCCCAATCGCTCCAAGATCGGAAACATTCGGTTCTGGCGGGATCGAAGAAGTGGCCCGCCTATCACACTAAGTACAGCCAATCCGAATTCTTAAAACAAGTACTACGCACGTTACGGGAATGCGTGTTGTACATGCCATATCAACGCTCAATTGTTTAGGAACCAACGGTTCTGATACGGCAACAAACTACCAAACCTTACGTGCTATGTCAGGCCCAGCGCTTACCGTGATATTTAATCTCCCTTCGCTTGCTCATCCGAATATTTTTTTCTGTCAATTAATTGCTTAATACATGATCGGTTTGCCCAGCTCAAGGTGAAATGTGCATACGTTGTCGTATACGCTTCTCCTTTCGTGTTACGTATGGTTAAGATATACTAATTTAGTCTTCATCTGAATAAAGAAGGAGGTAATTTATCTAACCGAATCCCGAGTTTCCCCCTTTCGTTTTCCATTATCCCTGCTCCGACTGATCATTCTATATGTCTTAAATTCGGCCTCCAAACAATGAAAATAAGGGGTGAATCGTCTTCTTCGGTTGGAAAGTTACATTTGCGAAATAAGCGGCCGGCGCGGAAGCTGCCAGTACAAAACTTTGCCGCTCTGCGACCGAGTACGATAATATTCTTGTGTTTCATGTAAAGAAATTAAGGCGCTTAGTTTCCTTGAACAATAAGGCCTTCACATGATGGTTGTCATTTCTGTTAGAGTTGTATATAGAGGGGAGACTAAGCGTTCTTTGATCCAATTACAATATGTTGGTGTGCTTAACAAGGGAGAAATACGAGAATTGGTGACTGGTCTTAGACTCGACAATTAATTACACAACTATCACGCAGCCCTCTTCTTTCTTGGTATTTCTTCTTTCACTGCTGATTGGGAGTTGTTCATATCAATTCCATTCTTCCCGCTTCCGCCCCAGACAAAACGTTGTTCTCCGATCCGGTCTAAGAACCATTGTTTCGTACAACAGTTTTATCAATACCCCCAATATTTATACTTGATCGCTTGCCCTGTTAATGTTCTATAGCATCTTGAGCAGCACACACCAATCTCCGTTGCAAATACATCGATACCTACAAGTCTACTCTCACGAACTGCACATCATGGCTGACGCCAAGCGCCCAAATGCTAATCGCCGAAAGGCGGACGATCCCGCCAAGAAACCGAGGAAGATGTACCAAGTCTTAGGGTTTAGAAAGATCTTGAGCTTATGTTATTTCGCTTTCTTTGCTGGAATTTTCATGCTCTTTTCGCTCTATCGCTTCCAGTTCCTGAACTTTGACGGTGTATTTTGCTCGGAGGTAGTGAAGAGCAAGGCCAACCGTAAGTATTCCTTGATATCTTCTTTTGAATCGGTTAATAGCTAACAAAATCTCACAGATGCGGCTCCAGGTGAATGTCATTATATGCCACAGAAGCCATACAAGACCGCTTTTCTCGTTCACCTTGGCACAATTCTACCTGCTGCAATTCTGGCTTGCCTCCAGTTTGTACCCATTATCCGTCGCGAGTATCCCGGTTTCCACAAGCGCAACGGTTACCTCGTTACTATTCTAAGTTTTATAGGTATCGCTGTTACATCTGTTATACTACCGGTCAGTTTTGGCGGTGGCTTGGATATTCAGCTAGCCGGATGGACCGTTGGGCTTGCGTGTAAGTAAATTCGTGGCGTTTTCCTCTCACTTTTTAACCCTTATATTCATATTTATTGTACGAGACTGTTACTAACGGCTTTGTTATCGCAGTTTTATGGGCGCTTTCGAGGGCGATTGACACCATTAGATCGAACCGAATCGACAGGCACCGTGTATGGATGCTCAGGGCTTGGTTCTGGGGTGGGTGCATTATCACTCAGCGAATCGTTCAAATCGTTTCTGTGAAAGTCATCAATACCGGTCCCTATCTATACGCCATGCCTTGCCAAAAGATTAACTCGATGCTTCATGAGCGCACGCTAGACCTCTACCCGGAATGTGTGATACAAACTAGTGCATTAGTCTCAGGCACATTGCATAAGCCTACCTCCATCGTAGAGGCTGCAGCAGCTCTCGACGCTGTTTTTGGCACATCTCTTTTCCTAGCCTTTATTATTCACGCTATTGGTGTAGAGATTTATCTGTTCATGACTAGCGAGGAGAACGAGCGGTTACGGAAAATCTCAGAGAAGCGACGGGCTAGAGCTGCCCACGACAAGCAAGTAGCTGCGCAAAACGCCAATACAGCAGCAGCCTTAAAGGCCCAAGTAAACTGGCCTTCACAAGAAGGTAAGTGGTGTGGATACTATGAGCAAGAGTACGCTAAGAAAAAACTATGAATGGCGGACCTCTGTAGTGCCAGTAAGTGAGCATATCCTGTTGCTCTCGAGTAACGTAGTTTAACTCACTCTGGTCGATGCATCGAGCGTATCTCCCAGAGCTTGGGTATTCGGACAATTGTTCGCCAAGCCCTCGAAGGAGAAAATGACGAGAGAAAAAAAAGTTGATAGCGAGGAATTGCAGTATCGTGTTTTTTGTTTTGTTTTTTTTTAAGACGAGAAAAATAAAATCAATAATTTTGTTATTCTGACGGATATTTATAGTTAACGGAATCGAACCAGCATTTCCAGGCAGCGTTTTTAAAGTTAAATTGAAAGCGTTGTTTTATTATTAATCCTGCAATAAAGTGCGTAGAAAATTCTAACTATATAAGCGTTCCAGCTAATTCTTGGAACGTAGCGCCCCTATTAGAAGCGCCTTTATAGGTGCGCTTTTGCTAGGGTATAGTATACCTTCGTTAGGGGCGCACTATACTATTGGCTAGGAGCGTTGTACTATTGGCGAAAGCGCTGTGCTACTAGCGAAACCGTTATACTGTTGGTAAAAGCGCTACGCTATTAATAAAAGTGCTATATCATTAATAAAAGTATTATGCCATTCCATTATATACCCCTTAATTAAACAGCATTGTTATATAATTAACTGCTTAATTTTAACATTTTATATAATTAGTAAACTATAATATATTTAATACTTCCTTTATATATTTAACCTTATTTTTACTTTTTTAACTTTAAAAGTATTTTTATTTAATTTTCTTTTAATATATATTTAACCCTTTATTAATTAAAATAAATAAAATAATTTAAATATTTTATATTTTACTTTTTATTAATATATTTACTTTAATTAATATTCTTTAAGTTTATAATATTAAACTATATAATTATTTTTATATATTATTTATAATACTTTACTTTTAATATTAATTATAATAATGTTTAAAGTTAATATATAAAGTTTATATTATTAATTATTTAATATTTATTAAAATAACCCTTATTATTTATATTTATTAAATATAATATTTAAAGTTAATATATTAATAAATACTTTATTAAAAAAAGTTATTATTATATAAAGTTTTATTATTTATTTATTTAATATTATTATAATAATTATATATTTAAAAGTATAATATATAAAGGATATATATTTTTTTTAATATTTTAAAGTAAAACCTTTTTCCTTTTTTTTTTTTTTCCTTTTTATCCTTTTATAATTTTTAATATATTATATAATATATATAATATTTTTTATTTTATAATATATTTATTAACTTTTTACTTTTTATTAATAATTAAAACTTTATTTAATAAGTTATTTTTTTTATATAATATTATTTTTTTTAAAATATATATTCTTTAAAAGTATATTTATTATAATTTAATATTATTTATATTATTAATATTATATATTTTTAAAGTTTAAGGAATTATATTAATATATATATATAAAGATATTATTATAAACTTTTTCTTACCTTTATTTTATTAACCTTTCCTTTTTAAAAAAGGGTAATAACTTTAATATATAAATATATTTTTATAATTTATTTTTAATTAATTTTTATAAAGTATAATATATTTTTATTTAAAATTTATAAAAAATATAATATAAATATTAATATAGGAAAAAACTTAATATAAATTTTAACCTTCCTTTTTTATATTTATTTAACTTTAATTTTACCCCCCCTTTTTTTTTATACCTATATTACTTTTATACCTAGCTTTTCCCTTTTATCCGTTTACCCCTATTATCCCTATTATTACTATTATTAATAATAAAAATAAAAATAAAAATAAAAATAATAATAATAATAATAAAAATAATAAAAAAAAGGAAAAGGAAAAAAATATTTTAATTATTACATATATTATTTATACCTTTATTTACTTTTATTATACCTTCTTTCTTATTATACCTTTACCTACCTTTTTTATTACTTTTAGCTTTAACGTCCGGTTATTAATAATATTAAAACCTGCCTTAATTCTTTATAATTAATATATTTAATCCTTCTTTATAAAAAAGTTAAACATTTATAAATAAATAATTAAAAAGGATTTTTAATACTTTTAATATTAAAAAAATTATAAATTATATATACCTATATAAATACTTTAAATATTTCTTTTTTATTATAAAGTACCTTTAATACTTTTAAATTAATAATGTAAAAGGAGTTAAAGTAAAATTATTAAACTTTTATAGCTATAAAGTTTATAATATATATTTAATTAAAATAATTAAGTTAATTAATTTTATAACCTTTATTATATTATTATT